GCCCGCCTCGGCCTCCCAGAGTGCTAGGATTACAGGCGTGAGCCACCACGCCCGGCCCTGTTTCATTTTTTATTATTATTTTTGAGTATTTTTTAGTCTTTAGCTTTTTCAAAATAATTTTATTTAACCGGTTTTAATCATTGACATAAAATATAGTTTTATTTTTCTCTCTAGACTACCCTTCAGTTTTTTGAAATCGGTAAAATTCAATATTTTAATTAATTTACTCAACAATTCGTTGAATGCCTGTTAGGTGTCATACAGTGCCCTGAGTATTGGGGATATAATTTGGAACAAGATACAGTCCCTGCTTTCATTAGAAGTAAATAGTAACCATGTAAACAAATAGTTTAAATAGCAATAAGTACCAGGCTGACAGCAGATCAGAGTAATCTGGTAATGGTTAACCTGTGGAAGAATGGGCCTATGGAGCCTCTCTGGAGAAGCAACATTTGAATTAGGAACTGAATGATGATGGGGAGGTTGCCACACCTAGGATCTGGGTGAAGAGTCTCATAGACAAAGGAATGCAAAGCACCTGAGATAGGAAGAACTTAACCTAATTGGGGGGCTGGGGGGAAGATGTAGCTGAACTCCTCCAATGTAGCTGGAGTTCAGTGAGTGAAAGGAAGTGGTAGGAGATGATGTATGAGAACTAGATTACCTACAAATACTCTGACGGTCTTACATTACAGTTAGAATAAAATCTATGCAGTAGTTAGATCACTCTAACTAGTCTGTGGGGATCGAACTATAGAGAGACACTGGGGGAAGCAGAATGGTCATTTAAACTTCCATCAATCTGCCTTTTAAGAAACATTTGTAGTAATATGTACTGAATTTTATTTCATTTAATCATATTTGCTTCAAAATATGTTTCACTTGTCCCAAATCAACAAAAGTCAGGGTTCTCTAGAAAAATCCAAATCTACTTTATATATTTATCTTATTTGTGATCTACATTATGAAATAAATCTATTTTAATAGCTTAAATTCAGGCAGTGCTTAATTACTTACAAATATAAATGACAGACTCTGTGACTGATCTGTGGAAAGTTTACGTTTTTTGGCTATTGTCCTACATATTCCAATAATCAATATATCCAAATTTAATAACCTAAGGAAATCATAATTAGGAAGCTATGTGTTGCTCCAGATAATCTTACCTCATATTTTTAAAAATGATAGAATCCCTTTTGTTTGATTTGTTATGTTGGATAATTTCTACCTTTGGTCTTATATGAGCACACATAATCCTATATCTAGTATTTGATTAATAGCAACAGCATTATATTAGAAACTAGGTACTACAGATTAAATCCTCAAATACAGACATTCTGGGTTGGTCCTCTTTTTATAAGGCTCTGAAAATAAAAAGCCATAGACTCAAGTAATTGGGTGTTTACTACAAACATGTCAAGTGTTCACATTTCTACTTTGAGTGTTACTTGTCATCGTGAAGCATTGCTGGCATTACTTATCAATTATTTTTAAACTAAAGTTTTAAATTTTACATTTTAAAGACAGTTCCATGTTAATGCAAATAGAGTATTTTACATTTCACCTGTATTATCACCAAATGGCAAATGTTTGATAAGGAAAACTTGAAAACAGCTTTTTTTCCCACCTAGAGGATAGCATGCCCCTTTCATGAACTGTTCTCAGGTTCAGCATGCACTGGCAGTTTTTAGTGGATTCTAGGTTAAGAAATGAAGCTTTTTTGGAATTTACAGCTGCTTCCATTTAGAATAATTCTCCACTTTTATCCACTCCTTATTAAAATAAAGAATTGACCTATCAGAAAACTTATTCACATTATGCTAAAAACGTACCAGTTTTAATTTAATGTTCCATATCTTCCTTGGGCAGGATTGAATTTTAGACAAATAATAATTTTAAGCCCAATAAGACTATCAGGAGATCAGTTGGAAATTTTCAGTTCACGTTCACATTCTTTCTTTCCATGTGTTCAATGTAATCTTTAATGTTTCTTGCACACGTGCTTGTGTTTTACAGGTCTCCTGCAAGCGCAAAATCTTTTAACACAACTACCTCAGCAAAGCCAAGCCAACCTCCTACAGTCGCAGCCAAGCATCACCCTCACCTCCCAGGTCAGTTTTCTTCTATGGAGGTTCTCTTGCCCTGTTGTTTTGGGAGACTTTTGGACTTTATTTGATTTTAAAACCCCAGAAAACCTAATAAAAATAATTCGGTCTTCAAAACTAACCAGAAATTCAAAGCTGAGGTTATCAGTTTGATTAAACAATGCTACCAAAGTGATGCAGTCTTTGAAAGTCATCAGGAGTCCCTGTTTTCTTATAACTGTGTTAGCAGTAAATGAGTAATGAGTTGTGATTCTGTGACACCTCCCCCTGGCATATCTGGCAGTAGATATTACCACTGAACTGGAAACCTAGTACCTCAGTTACAACCCATCATTATCCTTTGCCCTTTCTGAGAAATAGCAAAAAAGCTCTGGTCTCTGGTTTCTTTCCTATCAATACTTACTTGTTGCATTTGCTCATTTACACTAGACCACATAAACACTACAATCATATAAAAAGCACAAGTGTTAGGTATCTAGAGGTTTAAATCATAGACCGGGTTCTCCTCCTTATATAGCTATGATTTTGAGCATATCATTTTTCCTTTGTGGACCTTAATCTTCTCATCTCTAAATTAGGTGACTGAACTGACTAATCCTGAATCCCCTTGCCGCTCTGACTTTGCGGTGTGGAATTATCACTTAATACTAACACATTGCCAGATTTGACAGAATTCAGCATCCATGTATGATAAGAACTCTTGCAAACTAGGTATTATAGAGGGTAACTTTCTTAACCTAGTAAAGAGCATCTACCATAAAAACCCCCATCATCATACTTAATAATGAAAGACTGAATACTTTTTCCCTAAGATCAGATACAAGGCAAGATGACCAGTTACCACCTTTATTCAGTATTATACTAAAGGTGCTAGTAGCTCAGTAAGACAAGAAAAAGAATTAAACGTTACATATAGATTAGAAAGGAAGAAGTAAAGTTATCTTAATTGGTAGATGACATAATTATCTACATAGAAAATCCTAAAGAATCTACCCCAAAAAATTTCTGGAATAAGTGAGTGTAGCAAGTATATAGAGTACAAAGTCAATATACAGAAGTCATTTATATTTCTATATATTAGCAATGATCATTTGGAAATTGAAATTAAGAAAAAAATGTATAGTACTTACGGATAAACTTAACAATATTTTAAGATTTTTAAGATTATTTTAAGACCTATACATTGAACACTATTTACAGTATCTCTCTCTTGGGCTGCCCTTCACAGAAGGGATCAACTGAGCAATTAAGATGCAGAGTCGAGGTGGTACCTCCCACCAGTGAACACTCAGAGGCCTGTGTTCCACTCAGGGCTTGTGAGGAGAACAGAATAGCCTTGTCTAATATGAAAATTTAATATTTTCTTTTAAAAAAGAGCCTATACTCTCATGCCCCCAGATAAACTTTAGACGGATTTAAATAATTAAATGTTTTAAAAATACATTGAATAAACTGGCAGATTAAAAGGAGTTTTATCATAGTTAAAAATTAATGAGGCCTTCTCAGATTTGAAGCAACAGATGATATTGGAAAGGAAAATAAGAAGCTCAACCAAATGATAATTTAAAGCTTATATACACTGAAAAATAAAAGGAAGAAAGAAGATTGGAAATATTTGCATTGACAAAGACTCAATCTATAACATTTGATGATCTCTTCAAGGATAAGAATGAGACTAAGGATATCACTAATATATAAATGGGTTAAGGACATAAATCCAATTCACATCCAGGAAATACAGATAATAATTTACATGGGAAAATTTCGACTTTGAGTAGTAAGAGAAATATAAGTTAAGGCAGCAGTGAAGTACCATTTACTCCCTGAATTAGCAAAACATTTTTTAAAACTGCTAACATAAATCATGTGGAGGAAACTAGCTTTGTATAGTGGGCACCAACATTGTGATGCGTATCAAAAGCCATGAAATTATTGGCTGGGCATGGTGGCTCACGCCTGTCATCCTAGCACTTTGGGAGACTGAGGCAGGAGAATCACTTGAGCCCAGGAGTTCGAGACCAGCCTGAACAACATACCAAGACCCTGTGTATACAAAAATGTTTTAAACAGCATACCAAGACCCTGTGTCTACAAAAATGTTTTAAAAATTAGCTGGGTGTGGTGGCGCATGCCTGTAGTCCCAGCTACTTGGGAAGCTGAGGAAGGGCCCAGGAGTTTGAGGTTGTAGTGAGCTATGATAATGCCACTGCACTCTAGCCCGGGCGGCAGAGTGAGACCCTGCTTCAAAAGAAAAAAAAAAGGCTATGAAATTATTTATCCAGTTACCAGAAAATCAACTGTGAATTTATCTCAAAGAACTAATTACATACATAGGTGGAAAAAGTAACTGATATGTATAAAGTTTTTCATTGTGGTATTATCTATGTTAGTGAAAGGATAAATGAAAAGTGTCCAGCAATTAAGAACTGGTTAAATAAATTATAATATTGCCTCAGTCAGCTTTTGAAAAGGATTATTATGAAGACTGAAATACCATAGAAAAAAGTTAAAGCAATGTTAAATGAGAAAAGCAGAGTATAAAATTATGCATACCATAATTAAGTTAAAGTTTAAAAATGTAGATCTGTGGAAAAAATCTTGAGCAAATACACAAAATGAAACCTAAGTTATTTAAACAACAAATGATTTACTTTTTCCCCTTAAAATAGTTTAAATAATCTTATAATACTATTTTTATAATAGCATCACATGTTGAAGATGTGATAGTGATAAACAAGACAGATACGGTCTTTATTGTTTTGACAGTTTAAGTGGCATATTTATGAAACAGAATTTTTAAAATAATTTATTTAAAGGCATAAGATACATTTATTCAGACCTTTTGAAAATCCAGATATAATATATTTCATTTTTGTGTATTCAGGATTTTTCTATAGAATTACATGCTCACCCTTAATTGTCTTTATAGTAAACAGAATTTCATAGCCTGCTTTTCCCACCGAACATTATGTTGTACATTCTGTAGTGTTACATGGTCTTCATCACTCTCCATGAATATAGCTGTTTCCTTAAGTTGTTTACTTGCAGCACATGCCAGTTGTAAACTTGAACATCTGTTTGTATGTTTGCTCTTATCGTTCTGTTCCTTCTCCAACAGCCAGCAACCCCAACACGCACAATAGCAGCAACCCCAATTCAGACGCTTCCACAGAGCCAGTCAACACCAAAGCGAATTGATACTCCCAGCTTGGAGGAGCCCAGTGACCTTGAGGAGCTTGAGCAGTTTGCCAAGACCTTCAAACAAAGACGAATCAAACTTGGATTTACTCAGGTAGGATGAACCCACCTTTAGTTAGATTTCCCCCCTTGGCAGGTCCAAATACAGTTGGCTCTTTGTATCTTTGGTTTCCACATCTGTGGATTCAACCAACCATTGATTGAGAATATTCAGAGGGGAGAAATAATGGATGGTTGTGTCAATACTGAACGTGTATAGATTTTCTTCTCGTCATTATTCCCTACACAATAAAGTGTAACAACTATTTACGTGGCATTTATATTGTATTAAGTATTATAAGTAATCTAGAGATGATTTAAAGTGTATAGGTAGATGTGCATAGGTTATATATAAATACACCGTTTTATACTCTTGAGGATCAGAGCATCTATGGATTTTGGTATCTGAGAAGGGCCCTGAAACCAATCCCCCATGCATACCAAGAGACAACTGTGTTTGCTTTATGTGTCAAAAGAGGCTTCTAAGGAACAATGTTTCTCAACTATGTTGTTTTTCGGTCTGTACCTTTTTGTTAGCCATTTCCTGCATTTATATGTTTAGAATATTGTATACATTTAATTCTAAGTTTATTATTTAATGTTAAGTTAAACCTTTAATATTTCTCTCAGAACACAGGTCTCTGAAATCATAATTATTAATATATCAATAAATCGTGAGAGTTTCAAAAGATGATATTGGGGAATGATGTGACTATACTGAGGGTTTTGTTATTTGAAGAACATCTGGTTGTAGACCTTAGTGTTGCATGTGTAAGGTTGACAGAGTAAAGATTACAGGATCTTTTATAGTAACTAAAAGAGGAAAAATTTGAAAGGCTTGTTTAAAAGTAGTTTTGGGGGAGAGAGGAGAATAATAGAGACATATGCATGCACTCTCTCTAAAGCTATACTCAGAGTAATTAATCAAATAAGAATCTATTGAAAATGAAAAACTGAAATTAGTCAGAATCCAAATTAATTTTTTAAATGTCAGCTAAAATGATTTAAGATCATTAGGTGAAAAAAAATAAATTTTTTGGAGGATCGGATTGGATGTTTTTATGGAATCGGGAAAAACTGATGTTTGGAGTGTTTAAGCCACCACTTAATTACTATTCAAATTATTTTGTGTTGAAAGTACAGTAATGCTCCACCTACTCTGGTGGGTCAAAAACCGGGATGACATCCCTGCATGTATTCTAGGAATTTTTAGGAATAGACATATATCTCTTTGGGAATTTATTTTTGCTCAAAGAAACTAATTGTATATTGGGAACATAAAATGATTTTTAAAATAGATACAATTTTAAAGGAAATGCAGTTACATTTGTGAGGACTTTAGGTTATGAAAAAAATTACAGAAACATTTTAATATTTTTGAAGCATCTAAGTGATCTGACCTTTAGCCTTAGAAAGCTAAAGATAAAACTAGATTGATAGGGGTAAGTTAATAAGCTGAAATAAGTGTAAAGTTAGCATGTGTAGCAGTGCTTCAGGTGTTTGACTGTTGGCACAGCATACTCTTGTGTTTCCTGGGATGATTGTTGCCAAAGATGTTATGACTTCTAAAAATCTTTAACATTCACTCACATAGTGGTTTGCTTTCCTGTGGCATTTGACCCAATGTATTGCCAGTATTATGTTTCTCCCTCCCCTCCCCATCCATGTAAAGGAGCTTCCTTGCGGTCTGATGTTTTGCTTTATGGTTTTATCCTGTTTTTTGGCATGACCATTTCTTATTTTTCAAAATGACTATGACGCAACAGTGGCAATGGTTCACAGACTTTGACTACTACTGCTGCAGGATGGGAAAATCAGCCAGTCAACCTCTGTTTTTAAGTCTGATACCTCACTTGTAGTTATTGAAAGGTTGCATTGTATCCAGTTTTTTTTACATGTATATGCACACACATAGACACACATAGTTAAACATTCAAGTTGTATTTGTTGAAACAAATCCCAATTCTCTGAGTAAATATACATGTTATTAGATATTTTAAACAGTTAATTTCTGATGACATAATTGCTTATTAAAGGATTACTACAGATGACATTGCATGATTAGAAAGCATGTCATAGTGTGATACATTTATCACAGGGGGTACTTCCATTATTTCCTTGTCCCGGTCTTCGTTCCTTTTTTCCTTTTACTCTTTAAAAATATTGAAGGGATTTAATATAGCTCAGATTATGTATGAGTCAGCTGCTTAAAACATTTACTTTTGTGAAGGATAATGCAGAACGGTTGTGAGTTACAAGAGCACCAAACCAAGCATATACCAAATTAATGAAAATTAGTATGTTAACTGAGGGACCTGTTGCTTTTTATTCAATTAAATAATTTAAATGTGAAGTAGCATTATATTATAAATCTCAATTAAGTGGATTTGTCATTTATTACCATGGTTCTAGTTATTAATAGTTAATGACTTTATTTCCAGGTACCACCTTAGGATATTGTTTGTTATACTTACTATGATGTGATTTTTGAATAGATATTTTATGTTTTGTTTACTTGTTTCAATTGTTATTTTATATAAGATATTATGGAAGTTTGTGAAAAACTGGTAGTACATTGTGCAGTTACAATGCCAGAAAACACTTACTGCCATCCAACTGCTGCAAAAGATCTTATACTTACATAATTACAAAGTTTAGTTGGCCCTTGTTTTTAGGAAAGCTATAATCTAAACAAATAAAGTGACCAAGACATGAATATATGTGATACACAAAACTTAAGTTCAGCGCTTGATATATAGTAGGCAGTTAGTGAATATTTGTGGATTGAATGAAGTAGCATTTAATAAATATATAGAGATATAGGTACAGATAAACATATCCATCTGTACCTATAGATCTTCATATACAGTATAGATACAATGGATGACATTTATGCCCCACTCACACTATTCTGGTTCTTTCAGTTTTACTGTGATTGGAAGGAAATCAATAAACAGTACACTTCAGTTCTAGTTAGAGTATCTTCAGAGCTGTCATTAAAACTTTCCGTGATGGTGGGGATGTTCTGTATTTGTGTTGTCGAATAAAATAGCCACTATCTATTTGTGGTTATTGAGCACTTGGAAGGGCTAGTGGTGCTGAGGAACCAAATTTTTAATTTATTTGATTTTAATTAATTTAAATTTAAACAACCACACATGGCTGGTGACTGTCCTATACAAAGGCATAGGATATAGATCACTTGACATTCAGGTATCCTCTATGCCTCATTTTATCTTATAGTTCCAACATTGCTCTTCTGTTTAACTTTTTATCAGAAGTTACTCACCAGTAAGAAAATGGACTTTTAAAAAAATGTTTTCTTTCCCCAGCTACCACCTAATGCAGGTGCTAATAAATAATGTAATATCCAAAACATGGATTGGGGGGCCAGGAATCAAAGGACTGGGATAATCCCAACTCAAAATAAGTGTTGCCAGGATAGTTGGGAGTTGACTGTCTTTTCGTAGAATTAGTCGTGTAGTACTTTGGACCATAATGTTGTTGCCTTTCTGCCCTGTCACTAAACTAATTGAAATAGGTAGATAAATCATTTAAACTCCATGAACTTCTATTACCTGTATATAAAATAACCATTAAGATATGGCATTTTCCAGCTCGAACAAGAGATATTCAGCTGGAAGAGAAGCACTGTATACATTTCAAAGGTTATAGGCTTATAGAGAAAGACATCTTTTGTAATATATTCAGGGGATCATTGTTCTATTGCTGTAAGGTTACCAAGTTTCCAGTGCCCATGAAGGTTTGACTAAATGGGTCAAACCTCTCTACTGTGAATTTCTATCTCTGTAATGGTTACAAAAGTGGCCTTTTAGAATACCTGTTTTTTGTAACCAACTTTGAAATCCAAACTAAGGGTGAAAATAGATTTTTTTCACAGCTTCCAGAAATACTTTATAGAGAAAAAAAAAGAGTGAGAGATCATTTCTAAATTTTAAAGTGATTTATGGGAAGTTTGGTTAATTCAGAAATACCGAAGGTTATCTAGACAGTTTATATCTAATCTCTGTAGCTGATATGGATAAATTGATTTTTAAAGATCACTTAAATCACTTTGGTTGCATCAATTAGGGAGATTGTTAGAATATCAGCACTATCTTTTGTTACTTAGTAGAAATTTTGGTATCCTGATTATTACGTAAGGTAGCAAGAAGAGATTCAAAATGGAAAGTATGTGGGACGGTGTTGAACATTGTCCTCATCAAGGCCTAAGAAAGTCCTCACTGGAGTACTGTGCCTGGCTTAGGAATGGAGTTTATGTGGGACTCAGAAAGGGGAATGAGAGCAGTCACTGGAGTGACAGTCCAGAGTGAAGGCTGTAAACGTTAGTGAGTTGACTTTTTCTCTATTTTCCTCTCCCGTCTCCTGCTCCGTATTATTGTGCAGGGTGATGTTGGGCTTGCTATGGGGAAACTGTATGGAAATGACTTCAGCCAAACTACCATCTCTCGCTTTGAAGCCTTGAACCTCAGCTTTAAGAACATGTGCAAGTTAAAGCCACTTTTAGAGAAGTGGCTAAATGATGCAGGTAAGTGAATACACAGGACATTCCTTCATTGTTCATTGGGATTATTATATAAATTGGCATTTATATTTCTTACTATATTATTGATACTAAAGAACCTTAAAGCTTACTAATCCTGGGAGGATCATTATATGATCCAAATTATGGCTATTTAAATCAGAAATCTAATTTATTTAAATATTCTAGTAATTACAGTATAAATAATCAGCAATAACTTGTAGCCTTGAAATATTTCTTATATTTGAGCCAGGGTTAGGGATACACAGGCAGTCAAAGGAACAGGATAAGAAGGCCTATGTATTTAGATAAACTTGAAAAACAAGTTTATTGTTTCTTCTTTGATGAATTATCATAGGACTTGTTCCTACTATTATTTCTGGTTTGGTTATTAAAAATGACCACATATTTCATACAAAAAAGTTAGGCTGCTGTTTTAACTTTTTTGTGTGTGTGCTGAAATTTCCTTTTGGAAGATTTGGATATTGAGTCACAGAATCATAGACCATGAGAGCTGTAGGAACTACAGAGATCCCCTAGACTATGGTCCTCATTGTAGATGTGAACGAAAATTAGGCCTTTGGGAAAGACAAACCTGAAACACCCATCCTTAGACAGTTTGCTTCAGTAGCTATGAGTGAGGCCATCTGTAGGCTTCCTGAGTTCCACAGGCGAGAACCACCAATCTGCTCCATCCATCTGATTTCACATGCAGCAGAAGGAAACTCAGAGACGTGTATGGCATGCCCAGGGTTATTAAATTGTTCAATGGCAGAACCGTGTTTTAACTTTAAAGAATTTATAAGTATTTCTTTTCTTTTTTTTTCTTTGCCCCAGATTATACCAATGAAATGAGTGGTTATTTACAAGATAAATATTAAACATTCAAAAATTTCCAAAAAACTTCCTTCCTTTTATTCCCAGAGCTCATAAACAAACAAACATAAGAGCAGAACTGAAAGAGATAGAGCTGAGTTTAAGGGTAAGAATAGTAAACTTCTGCTTTCTCAGAAACAAATCAAAAAGTAGTGGTGACAATATAGTCAACTATCCTGGAACAAAGAACACCAATAAGGGCAGTACAAAGATTCATAATAGTAAACAGTATTTTCATGTAGGTTATATGAAAACTTTTTCATGTTTGCTTGTAGCTTATTTTGTCATTTTTCTTGTCGTTAACATATGTATTATGCACATGAATCATTATGTTCAGCTAATTTTATTTTTGTGTTTTCTTCATTCTTACAGAGAACCTCTCATCTGATTCGGCCCTCTCCAGCCCAAGTGCCCTGAATTCTCCAGGAATTGAGGGCTTGAACCGTAGGAGGAAGAAACGCACCAGCATAGAGACCAACATTCGTGTGGCCTTAGAGAAGAGTTTCTTGGAGGTCAGTGAGGTTTTTCCTTTTCGTGTACGTGGGATTGTCTGTGTAGTACTTAGTGTTAGAAACTATATAAGATAAAAGATGACATGTCAGCCTCTGTCCTTGTGGACGCTTGTAACATAATGGAGAAAATAGACGAAGTAAGTAAGTTACTGACATAGGAGACTGAATCAGAGTTCTGCAGGGTTCAGGAGAGACCAGAGTCACACCCATGTGAGCACTCAGTGTGAGAGAGGTGGCAGCTGCCGTAGGATGCGTAGGAATTAATCCCACACACTGGAAAAGGTGGGAGGAAAGCACTTCAAGCAGAGGGACCCAGGGGGAGAGAACCATGGATTTTTATCAGGAGAAGCACTAGTAGTTTGCTAGGCTAAATTCTAGTATCTGTATGCCTGGAATGGTAGTTCGGGACCAGAACACCAGAGACCTTGAATATTAGGCTGTGGAGTTTGAGTTAATGCAACAGATATTTGGCAGTTTCTTTTTTGTATGAGACAATATCATAATCAAAGCTTTCAACAAAATGTTGACTTCTCTAATTCAGAAAAGGCTTGAGCACCTTGGAAGGACACTGAATTAGGAGTCTTTATCAGCTCTGCCACTTGTTAACTGTGTACTTAGGCAAATCACTTGATTTCTTTAAGCTGAAATTCCTTCATCTGTGAAATATCTGCTTTTCCTGCCTCACAGACTTATTGTGAGCCCCAGATTAGATAGCACGGAGCACAGAGAAAACTTAAATTCCTATTAATACATAAGGTTGTATTGGTATTTTGTTAATTTTATTCAAGATTAATAGACCTTAAAATGAAAAAATGTAAATATGTAAGAACAACTTATTCTTAGTGAATATGAGTAAGTTTAGTAAGCGTAATGTTCATTACAACATCTATCTACAGAAGCTCTTTGTTGAAAGTGGCCCAATATGGTCATATATATCCCGGCCTCATTTTCTGACTTGTCCCTCCCCATTTGTTTATTTATATTCTGGCATGATTATGCCAGTAGTTCAAAAAGTTATTTCAAAAGATGACATTTTTTCCCCTTAAGAATCAAAAGCCTACCTCGGAAGAGATCACTATGATTGCTGATCAGCTCAATATGGAAAAGGAGGTGATTCGTGTTTGGTTTTGTAACCGCCGCCAGAAGGAAAAAAGAATAAACCCACCAAGCAGTGGTGGGACCAGCAGCTCACCTATCAAAGCAATTTTCCCCAGCCCAACCTCGTTGGTAAGTATAAAAAATAGGGGAACACAAGCTCGATGGCTAGTTTTTATAATTTTACAAATGACCCATTAAATCAATTTATTTCATAACAGTTATGAATTTACTATATACATTCCCGTTGAATAAATGTATATAAAATTGTATTTCAGTTGTTACCAAGATAATGAAACCTCGTGTTATTGACCTAAAAACTTTCTGGTCCTTCTTATTTTTTTAAAGTGAACAATTTTAATTCTTTCTTGTTTCATTGCATTTCCATTATACACTTCTCTGGTGTGGTCTATCAGGTTACTCTGTAACCATAGGAGTAAATTTGCTGCTGATTCCAGTTATCTCAGAAAATCTTTAGTTAGTTTTTATTCATGTTGAGGCCTAAAGCTCAACTTATTAAACTGACACTTACATGATTAAGTGACAGTAAATTCCCAGGTAACCTTTGGCTCTGAGCTCCTATTAAGACAATCATCTCAGTGGATCTTCACTCTGAAACACCATGCGGCCCTTTCATGTGTAATCTCATTGAGTAAGTTCTCTGTTTGCATTAGAATATTATTCCTAGAGTGAAAGGGCGTAGAGTAGTCCTGTGACTCCTTTGATTTTTAGTATTGCCAACCAGAATTCAAAAGATGAGAAGATTGTTGAGTTTGCATTTCTGTTCCTTTTTGTTAATTTGTTTTCGTTTTATTTGAATATCATTCCATTCTGAAAGGCTTTTAAAACTAAAGTCAGCTTTGAAAGCACATATTAGTTTAAGTGAAATTTATGGTTGTTACATGGTGGGTCTTTAATGATAAAGTTCATGAGATAGTTATGGAAAAGATAGTTGTTAAATAATAATTTTGTATAAGTGACTTTTATGTTTTAGATTTATTTGAACTAAATGGAAGACTTTCTTGCAGAACTGTGGAAATTTTTTATTTCAAAAAGAAACAGGTTTTTAAAAATTTGCTTCATGTTCTTTTCATAATTTCATTTCATTAAAAGCAAACACAAAGCAATTCTGCCCCCACAGAGGCAAAAATAAAAGTAATACATGAGCCCCAGATTCCCTGATCCTGTCAAATAGTTTTCTTATTTAGATAAAGTTGATAATTAGTGTATTTCTGACTTAGAGTGTATCTGACTCAATATTATTGAAATTTAGGAATGTTTCTTACTATTTATTTTTAAAACCTGGGCCAAGCTATTTGTGATACCAGTGAAAAATCATCTTCTAATAGCAACTTGCCAACATATCATGCCAAGTTTCTCAATTCCAAAATCAAAGAGAGATTATAAAATCATTTCCTCTTAGAGCCTGTTATTTTATTCTGTCGTGCATAGAGTTTTTAAAAATTGATAGGCAAAATAAGTCCACAATATGGGTTTAAATTTTTAAGTTTTGATTTTAGTGCTTTGTCCTCATTTTCATTTCTGACCTCTAGGTGGCAACCACGCCAAGCCTTGTGACGAGCAGCGCAGCAACTACCCTCACGGTCAGCCCTGTCCTCCCTCTGACCAGTGCTGCCGTGACTAATCTCCCAGTTACAGGTAAGCAGCAGCGAGGCCACGCCGCTGCTAGGTACGTGGGAGACCCTTGGTAGGTTTCTGTGAGAATCTGCCATTAAATTGCGAGTTAAGGTTTTCTCTGAAAATGTGGATCGCTTTAAAAAAAAAAATTATGCATGACAGCCTGAACTTTAAAAAAGATCAGGCATAATTAATTTTGTCAGAAAAAAGTACTTTCACTCAAGGATTTTCTTAACCTCTTTTGTTTTTTCCTGCATTAGTTCATCTTCTACATTGCTTCCAGAGTTATCTTTCAAAAAACACCAATTTTTTTTTTTTCCAAGAAACTCCTTTCCTTTAAAAACCTTCAATAGCTATGGCTTTTTACATTCAGAAAAACATTCAAATTCATCAATTCATAGAAGGTTATTTCTAGTCTGGACCTGATCTTCCACGAGTCTTTTACCTACCATACCCTGAACACACAGGAGGGCTCCATCTGTATCTTTGTAAACATCCCTATACCCTGAAGTGTTGTCCATCCTAGCCGGTAGTTCCTGACTGGTATTGATAAAACTATTCCAGTTTATGTCAATTTTTCTTGGAAATACTCTTTAACTTCCCCGGGAAACTATTTATTTCCACCTACCTGTGTCATAAATAATTACATTTTTATACATCTGTCTTTCCCAGTAGACTTTGTACTTCTCAACAGATTTGCGTATTATTCTTTTTGACACCTCATTATAAAATGAATGATTTTTTTTCCCTTTGGCCTCCTTTAAATAGCAAATTTTCCAAATGTGTTTAAAATGACTTAGCATTGTCATCAGATGTTTTTTAGTGATAGTTAGTGCATAAGACATGCATTTATGATATTTCATAATCAAGCTTGCTTTAAGCTAGAGTTAAGGATTTTGATTTTCCTTACTCATGTTTTAAGTTCATAATACCTCTTTTCCTCTACGAACTGTGATGTAAAAATTGAATAAATGGCTTTATATTGTATCACATTTCTAAGTATTAGAAAAATCTCATAATTTTTATTTTAGACAGTACTTCTTGGCCTCTTTGGGGTGTTGGACCTCTTTGAGAATTTGTAAGCCATATAGACTTTCCTCTTACAAAATAGACATACTCACAATTTTTAGTAAAATTTAAGGATGTTTATGAATGACAACCCCCATCAGCCCTCCCCCTGTCCCTAAGGCTGTTTGTGGATGCCTTGGGAGCCTGCAGATTGCTATTTTAAGAACCTCTGTTCTAGAGTGTGGATAGTATTCAGCACATCAGCTTAAAAAGCAAACTGTCAGTGATTGATTGGCATTGTGCTGGGCACCAGGAACCTGAAGTTCCTGCCTCTGAGGAGCTTATTGTCTAAACTGACTTCCAATAATCTGGTAAATTATGAGCTGAACTTTACATTCCCAAAAAATTATAAGTCATATTATATTAGGTCTAAAGATGCCCATTTTTTTGCAGAAAAATTTCTAATAGTTTAGACCTAAAGAACAAGTAGCTTTGCAGATTTCTTAAAATATAGGAAGACTCAAATAGAAGGTAATTTTAAGGAGATATGCATACTCAAAACTAGCTAAAAATTTGTATCAGTTTTTGATGAGTCCAACTGACCAGTCACATTCTTTTTAACTCAGTTACTCAGCCCATTTCTGTAGATTTAATTATGACTTTTCTGAAATCTTGGTCACTCTTCTTGGAATGAAATTTTTCTTTAATTATTAAGAAATTTAACCTTATAGGAAATTCAAACAGGAAAAACACAATCACATATACAATTTTTATTTTCTCTTTAAATCATTTTTATATGTACCTATATATAGAATTTCCAAAGTATTTGTGCAGTACAGTATTTGATTGCAGCCTTGTGATATCCTCACAGAAGACCCGGTTAGGCTGTGCCTGACTCACAAAAACTATGAGATGATAAAATTGTGTTGTTTTAAGCCACTGAATTTGTGGTACTTTGTTACTCAGCAATAAAAAATGAATACAGTAATATTATGTTTGTATAAATATTGCACAGGGCCAGCTCACATGATTGAATCTACAGGAGGAAAAATGTAATCTTATGGCACTTAAACATTACTGCTTGAACGAGAAGATTACAAGAGTCAGTGTCAAGTAGATTTTCTTTTCTTCTCAGCACTTACTAAAAATCTTGCCCCATGTTAATTTTTTTCCCACTTTGGACCATAACTTCCTTATATAGCCTCTTTTCTTCTGACATTCTTTACTGCCTTTCTTTTTCTCTGTTGACAAAAGTAGCATATTCCTTTACTGCATTATTTATTAAAGACATCCAGTGTCTTAATCATACCACTTATCTAATGGAATGTATTTTCTTCTTGAAGACCTTCTTGAGATTCCTATGATTGCTCATTTTAATTTCATTGTATTCATGAGTTAGATCCAACGTTTCTTAGATTCCATGTCTTCCTCTATCCTTGGTTCCTTTTTGTTTGTCTGGAACACATTCTCAAGTAATTTTTTTCTTTATTTAGAAAGGCTACGTGGGAGGTAAAATTTCTAAGTACTAGTTTGTTCAGTAATAGAATTCTAGGTGCAAAATTACTTTTTCTTTGAACTTCAAAAGTATTGCTTTGTTGTGTTTTAGCATCTAGTATTACTAATGAAAGGTCTGGTTTCAATCTCTCTTTTCTTGATTGTTTTTTCTCTCTGTAAACTTTAAGAATCTTTTTATCCTTAATGTTCTTAAATTTCACTAGGAGGTTTCAAGGATTGGGCCTTTTCAAAATTTGTCCTCCATAATGAACACTGGAGACTCTGGAAGTGAGGTGTGGGATGAAAAATTACCTACTGGTAACAGCATCCACTCACTATCCAGGTGACAAGTACACTAAAAGCGTAGATTTCTCCACTATATCAATACAATTCATCCACGTAAGAAAAAAATATTTGTACCCCCTAAATCTGTTTTTTTTTAAAAAAATGTTAAGCATTAAAAAGAAAATTGTCCTCATTGGTCTTCAATCTGAAGTATTTGAGGCTATTTTCAATCTGAAGTAATGTTTTTCTTCAATTGTGGTAATTTGTCTTTGTTTATGTAAACTGTTTTTTTCTAGCATTGGCTCTGTTTATTCATTCTGTGCCATTTGTTTTATACTGTTGGGTTTTTTCATTGGCCGATGAGTTTTGGTTATTTATTCATACTGATGAGTGTAAGACTGTATTACTTAAGGTCAGTAGATTGTAAGGGATTTCTTTGCCATTGTGTAGCTTCTGTAGCTCAACAGTCCTCTCCTCTGGATGGAGAGGTAGCAGTGCGCTATGAATGTTGGAGAGAGACCTGCCAAACTATTTCAAGGTATAAGAGTAGGAAGCAAGCAAGCAAGGCTCTACCCTCACGCATTCTCAAAACGGGGGAGATCCTTACTCATGCATGCCAGTGCCTACACTAGAATTCTTAGCCTTCCACAGTCAGATTTTTATTTTCTTTGAAGAGTAGTAGGTGACATTGGTTCTGCTCATGTGAGAGGTCTGGTACAGAAAGGGAAAGGCCCACTGGCAGAGTTACTATGTGAACAGACTTTTAATCACCCTATTCTTGGCCCTATATCCTACACCTGCGTCAGTTTCTGACAACTCTGAGCTTGGACTCTCCTCGGGGCTCCATCAGAGTGAATAATTTCCACCTCTGTTGGAGCCTTCTTACGTCCTTCTGGACTGTAGCTGATTTCTCCACCACCTGATTTCATCCTTTTTCTCACTTCTGCAAATCTGTATAAATCTCAAGCCCTTTGATATCTGTCACCAGAGTTCTTATTCCCTTTTTATATTTCTTTGGTATCATTTGGAATAGGATTTTGGAAACAAAGAAGAAAAACCATATCCTCAGTGTATTATCTTCTGAGAAAAGTCTTGTTTGATTGATGTGGTCATTTTTATTTTTCCATAGTGCATGGTACATAATAAGATCCTTGGCGAACATTTCTATAATAAATGCAAGAATGGTTATGACTGTGATTTCTCCTCCAGAAAGACAAGTGTTCTGATGTGTCTCAAAAACTTGCAATAAATTCCACAGCCCTTAAAAATCTCAACTAAACATGCTCAGACCCCAATTATTTTTCCAAAATATGTTTCGTAATGGCCAAAGAGTTGATTTCTCAGGAAGATACAGCAATTATAATTATGTAGCTATCTAACAACAGAGGCCCAAGGTTCAGGAAACAAAAATGAAGAAAATTTAAAGGAGATATAGACAATTCAACAATAGTAGTTGGGAGACATTTGATTAATTTGAACTAAGTAAAAAAAAAAAAAATTCAGGAATATACAAGATTTGATCTATGTTGGCCAGCTTGTCCTAACTGCCATCTGTAGAACACTTAATCCAACAACAGCAGAAAACACATTCTTTTCAAATACACATGGAACATCCATCCCCTAAGATATTTTTAGCCATAAAACAAGTCTTAGTAAATTTAAAAGGATTAAAATCATACAAAACATGTTGCCTGATGACAACTAAGATAAATTAGAAATCAGCAAAGAAATTTGGGAAATCCCCAAATATTTGGAAATTAAATTAACACATGGGTCAAAGAAGAAATCACAAGAGAAATTAGAAAATACTTTGAAATGAATGAAAATGAAAACGCAAGTAAAGAAAAAACGTCTCAAATACCCAAAGCCTCTACCTTAAGAAAATAGAAAAATAAGAGCAAACTAATCCCAAAGCAAGCAGAAAGAAGGAAATAATAAAGATTAGAGTAGAAATTAATGAAATAAAAAAAGAAGGCAGTAGGAAAAAAAACAGTGCAGCCAACAATTAGTTCTTTGAAAAAAGCAACAATATTGACAAATGAACTTTAACCAAGGGGAAAAAGGGAGAAAGACACAAATTACCAAAATCAGCAAAACAGGGGACATCACTACTGAACACACAGAAGTTAAAAAGATTATAATGTAGTATTTTTTATTGAGATACAACTCACATACCTTTTTTAGTGTACAGTTTTAAAGTATATAATTCATTGGGTTTTAATATAATCATAACA